GACTGGAAGCATAAAGCATAGAATCTAAACTTAAATGTTTAGTAGCACGAAGTTTCCTAAGATATTGAAAGTGTTACTATGCACCACTATTCAATACAATGGTGAAGTGATATGACTGGAAAGTCCGAAAATTGGGTCGATAATTCTGTTCAACTTTCATTGTTCTTTTTCACTAGTTCCCTATTTGTTTACATGATAAGATAGCATCGACTTTAAGAAGTGAACAATAGTATGTTGTATCACCATCCATCTTAGTGTTCACACTGTAAAATCTGATTCGTCTACAGGATTTTACGTCACTTGTCTCCTTTGGATATCAAGGGAAAATAGACGAAACGATACCTATTCAAGGTTTGTTTTCTTCGGCGGAGGTTAATCTGAATGGTTGTGTTTATTTCTTATTAGTTTTCGGAATTCTTCTAAGGTTATTATTATTAAAATATGCAGAGTTCACCAACTACTTAAATCATCCATTAGTAGTATGTAGTCAATGAGAGTTCGACAACTAGTTAAAAATATTGTGGTAAAATGTAAACACTTTGATAGATTGTACTTGTGATAATGGTGAATATCTGTAGCTCAGGTGGATGGTCTTGGTTGTATTTCATTGAACTCGGCTTTCAGGACCCAACAAGACAAACATACTACCACTTTTAACCACACTGTGTACAGCTTTTCAACACACTGACACCTCGTCACAAAACTATGAAGCCGATCTACACTGTCTAGGGAGTCGTAATCACCTGCAACTGAAAACAGTCAGCAGACAACTAAGGCAACTCAACACACTCAAGTAATATCTAGCACACCAAAAGTCACACATAACCCGTGCCCAAGTAGATACACTGACATTTCACTGCTTGATATTCGAATACTAAAATCAATCAACTACATCACATTCAATAGACAATTGTACACTTAATTAACATTAGAGATATAGAATTGTATTTGTGTAAATCACAGTGGGTTTGAGATCGAATAATTCCAACATTGTTTCTCATATAAGTCTGATCCGAGATTCTTCAGGGAAATGATCAAAATTGAAATGTCAAGGATGTATGCAAATGAATCTAAAACAAACGTCTGTTTAATCTCCTTGTTCAATCCTCTTCGTCTTGTCATTGTCTTTCGAAATTATTTGTACTGGGTGATGACTGAAGGTGAGACAAAAATCTAGACCACGTCCGGATTCGAACCAGCGACCACTACTAATCATTCAGTGTAAAATTGTGTGTCTCCTGTTGTATGCTGTGTGGGTGTGTGTGCGTGTATGTATGTATATATGTGTACTCCAAATCATTAACGTCTTGATTGTAAATATCAGACAAAAAAGTCACCGGTGGCACTATAGTCATTCAGGGATTTTATAAGTACAACGAAATGGATCAGGCGGATATGTATGCACTTTCTGTTGGAATATCATGGTAAATAGTATTCCCGTTGATCTACCGGAAAAAGATTGAAAATGAGGCACGATAATGATGGTAACAGTGAATCAAATTAATCCAAATTGTGTTGTTGTTATTGTGGTTGATACAGAAATAATGAAGTTGAAACTGGTGTTGACGGTAAATGCTTCGAGTCACTCTTTCTGCTTACTAATTAGTAATTGCTAAGAGGTAGCTAACTGCACTCCATCTCGTCTGTTCAACCTGTCTGGATTCGCTCATATATGTGTAGGGCCTCGGCAGTCAGTCTTTCTTGGTACGACCCAAAACGTTTTTGTAGAACCTTATTTCCGTCAAAGTCGATTTCGTGTCTCATTTCTATGGAGTGTAACGCGATCGTAGGACCGAGGCCCTACATATATATGGGCGAATCAAGACAGTTTCAAAAGACAAGATGGAGTACATATTAGATTTGTTTATTTGATATAAAGCGTACAGTGATACAGTATTATTTACTTGATTACGTTTCCAGCATAAATTATTGCTCATAATCATATCAATATAATCACACTTCTTTCGATATCTGATTTTATAGTCCTGTCACCTGATCTCTCTTTGTTTTTTGTTTTTTTGTTGATTGGTAGTAAAGTTTTCCATATCTCTGGTATAGGTGTTGCGTCATTCCTATTACATGTGTTGGGTGTGGATTCGATGAAGAAAGATTCAGTAATTAATCTCTCTCTCTCCACCTAGCCATCTTAGACTTAAGTACAGTGGTTTTGTCCCACCTACCCTATTGTGTGGTTGTGTGTTAATGAATGTAATGCAATGGACGAGTGTTGTTCTAGATTATTGGTCTTATTGGGGTCTGCCGTTCTATGTTTAGCTAATTTCCTATGTTCTGTTAATCTAACTGACCCCAACCGGCTAGTTTGACCTATGTATTTGACGTCATAGTCATTACATGGAATTTGGTAGATTATATTATTTTGCTTAATTGGTTCTATCGGATCTTTTAGCCGACAAAGCTTACCTCTAAGTGAGTTTGTTGGTTTAAATGCCACCCTAATTCCAACCTTGTTGAGAATCCTACGTATGTTTTCTGATGTTCCTTCCTTGTATGGTATCACAATAGAGGTGTTGATTTCCTTTCTACTTATGTTGTCACTATTATTTGTGTTTGTATTAGTGTTATTATTTTGCTTCTTATGTGCCCGTGTGAATTTCCTAATAAAATGATGGGGATAATTATTAATTATTAACGCTTCTTTTATGTGTTTCAATTCCTTTTTTAAGTCCTTACAATGACTAGTGAGTTTCTCAGCTCTGTTATTTAGACATTTGACTAAACTAGCTTTAACTGACACTGGATGAGATGACTTGAAGAGATATGGAAAATTTACTACCAATCGAAAAACAAAAAACAAAGAGAGATCAGGTGACAGGACTATAAAATCAGATATCGAAAGAAGTGTGATTACATTGATATGATTATGAGCAGTAATAATTTATGCTCGAAACGTAATCAAGTAAATAATACTGTATCACTGTGCGCTATATATCAAATAAACAAATCTAAGATGGAATTACATTCTACCACAGTGACCAAGTTTTACACTGATATTAATAGAGATGGAGTATAGTTAGCTGCCCCTCTTGGCAGTTACTTATTAGTAAGCAGAAAGAGTGACTCAAAACACTGATCTCAACTCCATTATTTCTCCATCAACAACTACACAACCTGCACTGATCTGATTCATTATTATTTTTATTATTATGGTTATTATTACCATCATCATTATCTACTTCCATTCATTTACACTCTACATCGGCAAATCAATGCGTAGAGAATCAGCTAACACCATTCACCATTTTACTTCAAGTGAAATTGTATACACATTCATCTCATCCTTTTCAATTTGTGCTTATAGAAAAAAATTAGCGAATGACTGTCACCAATGTCCTTTGTATCTGATACTTACAATCCAGACGATTATGAACTGGAGTATCTACCTACTTACATACATACATACGTCAAGTGACAAAAGACATACAAGTTCACATTGAATGATTAGTTGTCATAATTTCGAAAGACAATGACAAGACGAAGAGGATTGAACAAGGAGATTAAACAGACGTTTGTTTTAGATTCATTTGCATACATCCTTGACATTTCAATTTTGATCATTTCCCTGAAGAATCTCGGATCAGACTTATATGAGAAACAATGTTGGAATTATTCGATCTCAAACCCACTGTGATTTACACAAATACAATTCTATATCTCTAATGTTAATTAAGTGTACAATTGTCTATTGAATGTGATGTAGTTGATTGATTTTAGTATTCGAATATCAAGCAGTGAAATGTCAGTGTATCTACTTGGGCACGGGTTATGTGTGACTTTTGGTGTGCTAGATATTACTTGAGTGTGTTGAGTTGCCTTAGTTGTCTGCTGACTGTTTTCAGTTGCAGGTGATTACGACTCCCTAGACAGTGTAGATCGGCTTCATAGTTTTGTGACGAGGTGTCAGTGTGTTGAAAAGCTGTACACAGTGTGGTTAAAAGTGGTAGTGTGTTTGTCTTGTTGGTCCCTGAGAACCGAGTATGTTTTGTGTGTCGGAGATTGCAGGTGTAGCTTAGTTATATACGACTGTGAGTCTCTTGATAGCCCCACTGGATATGAGTGAATTAAGTTGACTAAACAGAAACCACGGTCTAGGAGACGGATATGCCGAAGATCAGTGGTATGTGTTTGCAAAATATGGATGGTTTTGTAAGGTGTGAGGAGACTATTGAGTGCGCTGGATGCAGTGTAGCCGAAAGGCAAGGCGGATTCATAGTTGTTATTGTTGAAACAATCCCACGAGATGGGTGTAGGAAACCTTGAGAAGGCCAGTGATATTCGGTTCAGAATATTGATGTCGTTAGACCTAATCTTGGGTGTTACTCATTAGCTCAAAGGAAGACACTGCTGTGAATCTGGGTTCATAGGCCAGGCCTCCCAGCAGACAGTGGGATGCATCCCATGTACGTCTGCCAACAGGGGAGAAAGTACGGTGAACGAACGGATTACTCACTCAATGTGGATTCATTGAAGCTTGACATTTGGTAGGGTTCTGGGATAACACTGATCATTTTGAGGGGATGCTAACAGAATGCTCCGGCAGGAGTGTTCGTTCTTGTGTGGATGCGTTTTTTGGGTTGACTAGGTTCGTGTTGGAACACCCATAGATCTAAAGACCGGTCTGAAACCTGGTGGTATGTTAAAAATTGATATGAAATCTTAGTTGGCTAGACTGTCGATTAACGTCAGTCGGCTACCGGCAGCTGGTACACTTATGAAGTCACAGTCCACTAGGTTAGGCACATGAGTTTCAACCAGTGATTCATATACCTGAATGCCATGCTCTTTACCGAGGACCAAGCATCTAGTCACCACTCATATAACACGTGTGGATATAAATACAAGGGTTGTACATTAGTGTGATCCAAACATACTGGGACATTTGTAATCTCCGAAATTTCAGTATTTTCTTTTGTTTGTTAGTTTTTCTATGTAATTATGAATAGTTTTACGATTTTCTGTATGTTTTCTATTCTCTTTTTCAGATAATACAACTGATGCAAGTCAATGATCACAAATTTACAGAAAATTATGAAAGTTGAAAACTTTTTGAGATGTATACAACTTTTCTACATTTTTTGCTTCATATTCCTTTTTTGTTTGACTACACTGCCTACTATTCATGCATGTTTACAACTTACAGAGAATGATCTACCTGCATTGTTCTGTCATTCAACTATACCTGCCTTACCAATACCAAGAAATGATATTCCAATAAATGTAGCCAAGCTTATCATTTCAGGGATAAGTTCTTCAGGTCAACATAATGGAATTTTAACACATAACAATTTAACTGGTCTAGAAACATTAACATATCTACAGATAAGTAATTTTAATTTAAAAGAAATTGAATCATACACTTTCTCTGGTATGAAACATTTACGTGTATTAGATTTATCAATGAATCAAATAATCACTATTCGATCAGAAGCATTTATTGGACTTTCATTGAAATTACTTTCATTAACTGATAATAAAGGTATTATTTTTGATCGATCATCATTTATTGGAGCTAAAGTTTTTCATTTAGCTGCTAGAAATTGTAATTTAACAACATTGGATTATGAAACAATAGCTGAAGCAAAACCGAAACAATTAAGTTTATCGGATAATCGATTAACATGGTTAGATCCACAATTCTCTGAACTTATTATTGATTCTACAAAAAATTTAAAAATTCATTATGAATCAATAAGTAATTCACCTATATTAGGTTATTTAGACTTAAGTAATAATCCATTAAATTGTAATTGTCAACTTGTTTGGCTTTCAAGATTAGTTGAAAGTCAATCTTATAATGTTTATCAATATATGAATAGTAAAGATTTAAATAATAAGAATGACCTTGAAAAGGATATTTCTGATTGGCCGAATTCATCAATTCGTTTAATGTATCATATGAATATGACATGTGCACAACCATCTGATTTAGCTGGTAAACGATTACCACATAGTTGGGATTATTTTTGTCCATTACCAAGTATAACAGGAATTGAAATCAATATGCTTACACCAAATTCTGATTTAGCTCAATTAATATGTATTGGTAAGGGTAGACCAACACCAAGTCTTGCATGGACATATAAAATACATGGACAAAAAGTACAACAAATATTAGATCCTTCAATTAAACAAAATTTCAATGATCAATACTTTTTATCATCTAAAGATAAATCATTTTTCAATATATTATCAAATAATGAATTAATTGAACGTAAACTTGCATTAAATATTAGTTTAAATTCAATAGATATTAAAAATTTCACTTGTACAATATGGAATAATGATAAGATATCATCTTCATCAGTATTATCTACTTCTATAAATTCTTTAAATAATATAACAGATAAATTAAAGACTACATCACTTATTGTTCCAACAAATGATAATCATCAAATCAAATTACAATATTATCGACTACATGAAGTAACAGTACGTATTTCTGGTCCAATAAGATCACCTGAATTCATTAATACACCAATACTTAATAAATTATCAAATATAGACAATAATAAAAAGTTATCAGAAATTGATAATAAAAAAATATCATCAATAATAAATGTACAAACACCAATGAAATCAATACAACAAGATAATCAAGATATATATAGTTATCTATTCATTAAAAGATTTACATTATTAGAATTACTTGGTGCAATTATAGGAACATTTATTTCTACATTAGCATTATTATATATGGCAACAAATTGTTTTTCATGGTTTTGTCGAATTAATGGTAATATATCAATGAAAAATTTATGTAAATCAAATTTAAGATCAAATGGTAAACTGTTCTCTTGGATGAATCCTCATAATAATAATAATAATAATAATAATAATAATGGTTTATTACTCAATAGTGGTAATCGTCAAATAACCATGAATCATACAAATTCTAATCATTTGAATAAGAATGAAAGTAGTTTAAATATAAAACTGTTACCATGTGTAGATATAGAAACAACTTGTACTACATTGACATCATCAGGAACAACACCTATACTATCACAGTTCGGTTCAACGACTATATCTACTAGACGACCAAATATACCTCAAGCATTATTGTTGACTAGTGTTCCAACTCCACGATTGGAAGCCAATTCTACACCACCACCGAATCCAGCATATTGGCCTATGCCAGAATACACCTATTCAGGAGCAGGTAGTCATGAATATGATGTACCTCGACCGTTAGAAGTATTCAATGGAGAAAGATGTGGTCTAAAACCTGGCATGATAGAGAATATTAACATAAATCCCAATACAGCTCAGTCATTTCTTAGTTTGGCTAGTCATTCATTGTTTCCTATGAATAGTACACAGCTGAACAGAAATGATATGGGAAATAACCCTAACTGTAGTATCTTCCAGACTTCTGCAAATATCCCACCGCTGACAATGCAATGGACGCAGACAGTGCATCCGACGAATAAAACTTTGACAATCAATCCTGTTATTGCATGGCAATCGAATCTAGTCGGTTCAAATACCTCATCTACGACAGTGACAGATAGACAATCACATAATAGTAACTACACTAATCAACCATCAACACAATCAATTTTATATTCTGCAGACTATCCAATGTATTTGCAAACACGTCCATATCCGCATCATAAGGAACAACAACAACAAATGTTTGAAGTTATGACGAACTCTACCAGAAATTATCCAACAGAAGGTCTCACAACTACTCCTGTAGATATACTTCACAATCATGACCTGCCTAGAAAGTCTGGCAATTGTATATCAGAAAATAAAGTGCATATGAATGGGACAGATAGTTAGACACCGTCTAGTGAATGCTGTTACATAAGCCTTGATACAATAAGAGACTTTAAAATCAACTCACCAGCACCTCCTCCATTTCACAGGTTGTTTTCACTCATAGCATTTTACTGTAATAATGAGATATGTATAAATAAAAAATCAAGCAAAACTTCAGAAAATCTTTATATCCCTGTATATGAACACAATAATGCACTCGACAATCTATAAACAATGTTTTTGAAATATTTGATTCTTAGTATATCAGTGATGCAAATAAACAACCTTCTCCTAAAACTTTATTCTTCTTTTCTCACATTATGCTCAAATAACTTGAACTTTTCCAAAGTCTTTCCTAATCAACTTACATTAACCTCTGAACAAATAAAAATTTATTCCTAATAAAATTTCACATTCATTGTTTGCCTACTGCTGCATTATCAGTAGTATACTAATAAAATTGTAAAATTCAAAATTGTAACATTGAACGGTCATATACATATAATAATTACAGAAAATAATTACCAAATTAACATTTTTCTTTTCAAATTTCATGCATTAAACTTCAGAAAGATAATTCAGATACAAATAGTAGGGCCTAGCTGTCAAATGTGACCACATAACTTTGCAGCATTAATACAAAAGTGCATGAAAATGAGGTCAACGTAACGTGCTGAACAAATTTACTGTTCATACGTATGAACACTCTTAGAGGAAACAACTACTGCCCAAGTCTGTTGACACACTTTTCTTCCAAGCGCCTACAAGTATGAGACTTAGGTGCTTAGTCTCCTTCTCATAGCCTGCTACTATGTAAAATTGCTGAAAGAAATAATGATTAAATAATCTTTCAAGTTGTTATTCATCGTAGACTGACATCAGTTGGAGGAACAAAAGAAATCTGGCGGCACTGGACAGCTGTTTCGTCCTAGTATGGGACTCCTCAGCAGTGCGCACCCACGATCCCACACCAGCAGGGATCCAACCCGCGATCTTCAAGTTCCGTGGCCAGCACGTTCCGATTAAATAATCGGAAGACTGATGCAGGTGTAATTCATCTAACTGCCAATGCTTATGAATTGCATGTGAATGGAACTAAAAAGACAGATAATATGATTATATAACGAAAGGTGGTGATAGGAGTTCCTATGATATGCATCGGAACACGATGTGCAATACTTCTCGGTCTCCAGAAGTGTGGCATCTAGTATGCTCCAGGAAATATATACATTTCTGCAAATGATGTGTAAGATTATGAACGCCTAATGATTTTCCGATGTATTATTACTACTACTTGTCCCTTGTGTTCCTAGTGGAACACATACGGCTTCAGTACCACGTCTACATTCCAACCCCTTCTCTACAGTCTTTCAAACCTGTCCCCACGACTGCCTACAACCTTCCATTTCTTCCTCACACACCACCTCCTCCATGTCACACTCACCTACCACGCTCAACTCGTCCTTTCCCATATGCATTCCACTCGACGGACAGGTCTGTCCTGCCACGTGATGTCCTCAATCAGCCTTCCCAACATATGCCCAATCCAATCCATCTCCACCTTCCTCTTCTCCATATTTGTTGACTGATAGGTTCTCGGTTGGTTCGTTGCCAGCCAGCCAGCCAGCCAGAGCTCCTTCTTGCTTAGTTCTATTATTATGGCCATCTCATCTGATCTTCAGAATCGAGTATGTGTAGGCAGTCGTTGATGATGCATGTATGTCTGTAGTTTGTTGGAAGTGCTTTTCGTGACGCACCAAGTTTCTGAACCATCACGTAGTAGCACTGACTTGACTGAACTGGTGTTGAAAATCCGAATCTTCTTCTTTGTGCTGAGTGGAGTGGAGTGGTGGAGTGGAGTAGATCTCCACACTGATTTCAGATTAATGAAGGAAGGCCTATCTTGCTGCCGTCCCGATCCTGGTTTTGACATCCTCACTTGTGCCTGTGTCATCTGTAGCTGAAACGATGCTGCCTAGGCAGTAGGTAGGTGAAAGAGACAACTTCATTCAGGTTTCTCCTGTTAATGGTGATTGGTGCCTCTTGTAGTTGATGCTGTTATTATCATTGTTGTTGTTGTTGTTGGTTGGGTATCTTCATCACCTCTGTCTTCTCTACACTCACTTGAATTCCCATCTTCCTTCGCTGCCTTGCCTCCTCTGTCAACTCGTTGATTTTCGCCTGTGGATCTCCGAGTTTGTGTGACATCAGACACAAGTCATCGTTGGCGAAATCTAAATCTTCTAGGTTCTTTTCCCCGGTCCAGCCAGCGTATGCCTATCTTCTCGCTCCTCACGGTTCGTTGCATGATCCAGTCGAGTCAACCATAATCAGGAAGATGATGGGTGATAGTAGACAGCTTTGTGTTACTTCTGTTTTCACTTCAAAGGCGTCACTCAGGTGCTTTCCATTGTGTTACTTGGTATGTGTCAAGAATAAGCAACATTGAAGCGGAAAAACATGCAATGGTTCCCATCAGCGGCTAGATACCTACAATATTTACTGTAACAAGTTATAATAAAGTACTTACACCAATTAGTTTGGTAAAATCAATGAAAATGGAACAAAGATACAGCTGAGTAAGAGAATTAACCGAAGTAAAATAAAGTCACAATGTCATATAATGTTATCATAAGTAGATATCTTATTAGAATGGATGTTCTCTTAAAAGGTGCATGACGGCAGTAAAGAAAATGTGTAATTCTGAAGAAGAAATAACTTAATCCATCATTGAGTACTTCACCTTACATCTAACTTAGATTTCTCAACTGATCACAACTTCTTATTAAAACTTCTGGAAATCTCATTTGAAGACAACTAACTCATTAGTGACAGTAAATCTATTCGGAGGTTTATGGAAATTTATCGATTGACTTCAGAATCGCAGCTCAGTGGTGAAGTCGCTGACTACAACACTGGGTAACGTGGGTTCGAATCTCAGACGGGACATCACTTCCTTGCTGACGAGTGCCAAAAAGTACGAAATCTGGATCCAGGGCTCCCTGCCGATTGCCTCCAACCAACTAACATCTACTACTGTGCACCGCAATACTGAGCTTTCTAGCTTAGTTTCCACATTATAAATATGATAGTTAGAATTCGGTATGCACTCAGGACTAGACAACATGAATTTGGTTGCACTCCTGTGACCAATCAGTAGATGTAAGCCAGTCCTACAGGATGTCAGTCGCGATCCGAATAGCTAAGTGGTGAAGTCACTGACTACATTGCCTCCAACCAACTAACATCTATTGATGTTATATTTTACTCTAACCTTTTTAAAGCCTGAACGTATTCCAGTTAACATTGTTGTGCGGTGGGGTACATGATGATTAGACGTGTATAACACATTTCTTGGTCATCTAAGCCGATGAAAGTTTACAACGGGAACAATTTTAGCTCAGTAGTTTGTTTATTTATCTGTTTGACACTGATTAATCATCTCATATCTACTCTGAATGCCTGAATGTGGATATCCATAGAGTCAAATGAATTAATGGGAAAAAGTGGCGCATAGCTTAGTGTGTTAATCTTTGATGTGGTGTCTCCGAACTCTATACACTTTGAGGTGTTTTAACACACTACTGAAGTTGGATGAGTTTGAAGATTCTATTCCGTTTTACTTCCATGCAGAAGTATTCTTGTTAATCGCTTCAGTAGAAGAAATGATGACGTAAACGGATCTGATTGTTTTCTAATCTGATTTACATCATCAACAGAATTCAGTAGTTCAGTCAAGTCGACCATAATCAGGAAGATGATGGGTGGTGATAGTAGGCGGCAACCTTTTCTTACTCTTGTCTTCACTTCAAAGGCATCACTAACCTTTCCAGTGTAAATCACTTGGTATGTAGCATCATGTAGCATATTAGCTGTTGAATGAGGTTGATAATGGTTTGTAGCAACAAAGGCATAGTGTTAAAAGAGCTGCCGAATTACTTCTCGGTCGACTCTGTCGAAGAACTTTTCAAAGTCGATGAAGTTGAGGTAGGGTAAAGAGTTGACTGTCACTCTATGCTCCGTTCTATGATCATACTCAGTGTAACGTTGCAATTTGATCTGCACATAACTTGTTTTTCCTGAAGTCAGGCAGCCTGTTCCAGTGCATTATTTAGTCTCTCGAGGATGATGTGGCCTAATACTTTGCTTGGGGTGGACAACAGCATGATTCCACGCCAGTTCTTGCAAGGACTTAGGTCACCTTTCTTTCAGAGTTTGACATGGTAGTCCTTTCTCCAATCTTCTTTCCAAACCTTCTGCAATAGTGATGTGAGCATATCTGCTATTGTCTCTGCATCTTCCTTTGAGAACCAAATCAACGATGTAGTCTGAGGAGGACACAAGCAATTTACACATCCAATGTCATTGTTTTCCTAAATCGCTTCACTCAATGCTGGTTAAGTGTGACCCAAAACGAGTGTATATACAGGTGATTATTATTCAATTTCATCATGTCTCCCACCATATTACAAATAATCAATTTAGATATTCAACAATCATGTCAATATTTGAGAAATGGTCACATGAAGATATTCCAACAGGAGATTATTAGTCAATTAGATTGATCGATATTAATGTACTTGATATATGGCAGTGATTTGTAGGTTATTTTTAAATTGATCGATAAATTCAAAATGTATTTGATTGTTGCTCAGTGTCAAGATCTTTATTATTCACTGAATAACATTTAGACCATGTTGACATCTCACCACCTGTACTACATACAATCCGTTCTGTTGTGTTGTACAGCTGTAAAAGATGTCCGTCATGAAATGGTTGTCAGGTTCTGGATATAGATGTCTTCATAGTATTGTCCTCAGTTAGTGGAATCACCGTGTGAGCAATTTTGAGGTCAGGTGAAGGGTTGTGGGAAGGACAGATAAGTCGATTGATAAGGATGTGAATGGCTTGAACATCTACTGCCTACCTCGATGTGCCATGCTAGGGGAAGTTTGATTAGGTTGGAAGAGTTTTCAGAGTGTCCACACCAAGATCTGACACCAATCCATGAATTCTCTTACCGTTGGACTGAGTCATGTGAGACAGATAAAGACTGCCTGGTTAGGGGTCCCTGAGACGAAGGGAACTAGTGGCTGAGGACTCTTGGCGACACGACTGGAAATCGGTCACAATGACGCAGATGTATTCACTCCTCCACATCTTCTAAAGCTTGAATATTCTCACAAACTGTTATCCTCAGATTGTTTATTGACTCACACAACTTTATCTTCTTTGATATCACTGTTCTTCTATTCACCTGTCTTTGTACACTACTGTGAAATGTGGTAACTTAGGGCGATGCACTTGTGTCCAATGTTCTATGTTGATTCTGTCTGTCTGCGATCTGCAAGCTCTATACTTTAAGGTGTCCTACAGCATCAATCATGTTGACTGGCATTGAAAATTTCATTCGGTTTTACGTGTATGTAGAAGTATTCTTGTTGACTGCTTCAGTTAAAGAAATTATCATATCAAGAAATCGAATTACCGAACCCAGTGAGAACAGACTTTTCGCTAAA